CCATACCCTTCCCACGCTGGAGCCACGGGTGAGCAGAGGAGGAGGCTGAGGACCCCCAGAGTGGATGGTTCATACGTCCCTTTCTGATTCACCCTCCATCACCTGGAATCTAAAGAAAAATGGGGCTTCATGCATCACCATGCCCCAGACAGAACACACAGCACAGGGCCCGTTACCAGGTAGTGGCACAAGAAATATTTGTAGAAATGTGGATTCATGAATAAATGAATGCACAAGAGCCTCTCTGTCCACCAGCAACAGTGCATAGAATTCCACCATCCAGATCCCTCCACTGGGTCAGAAATTCCTATTAACACGGAGAAGATTCTATCAGCACAGCCGGCAAGAGCTCCTCCAGCAAGCTGGGAAGGGTGGAAGAACCTGGGGTACACGTTCAGCCGGGGCCGGGGAGGGCCCTTCCTCCTCCAGGATGCGGACACCAGCCAAAGGTGCCAACCAAGGACATCCAGCCAAGTGCTGCATAAAAGTCATTTCCTTAAAAATGCGTGTCATCTACTCGAAGGAAAGGCGTTTAACTCGTCCTTCTCAGCCGGGAAAGAGGTTATAATACCCATACTGGGGTATATCGGGCTCCCCGTTGAGGCTTTGCCAATCCCTTCTAGAAATTCCAACACCCACCCCGGGGTCAGGCACTCACCTCCCCAATCAAGAATCGCTAACTATTGAGCCAGTTGATCTGGTGTGTGTCACACATGCCAGTAGCTCAGAGGCGGCTGAACAGGTTGAGAATTGCTGTATTAAACCATTAGCACCTTCTAGCCAAGCAATTCTCAACCTTCGTTGTGCATAAAAGTCATCAGGGTGCTTGTTAAGACGCATCCTGAGCCTGCAAGCACATATTAGAGTCGGCAGCTGTGAGTCGGGGCCTGGAACCTTCACTGTCAATAGACTTCCAGTGGGACAGGTGCCAGGGCCGTCCTTCGAGGAGCCCACTTCTACCCCCCATTGGACAGGGTAGAAGCTACCCGCTTCTCTCCACTCCCATTGAGAGGGTCCGTGGGGAGAAGCGGGTGGGGGAGAAAGGAGGGCACAGGGCTCCTGAGGGCCATGACCAAGGGCAGCCTCTACCCACTGAACTCCGCCAAGGGCTGCTCCAGCTGCCGAGCTGCCCGCCCCGGCATGGGGAAGGGAAGGCGACATGATTGATGCGGTCTAGACCTGTCCAGCCGCCTGGAGATCCCTGCACGTGCCAGCCGGTGCCCAGCCTTGGCAAATATTAATACATCCGTTTCTCAACGTGCTTCCGCCCCAGCGTCCTCACCTGGTCCTAGCAGCAGACAAGGAGGACAGAGAACAGCACGTCACCAGTAGAGAAATCGAGGCAGGCACAGGGCATACGATGGCGGTCTGCACCAGGAAGGCAAGGGCAAGAGAATGACAGTTCCCCGAGGGCTTGTTGCATGCCAGGGACTGTGCTAAGGACTTATATCTGTCCTTGCCTTTTGTCCCCATGAGACTTTGAATCGCCCCCATTTCACAGGTGAGACTGAGGGTCTAAGTTAAGCAACTTGCCCAAAGCCAGGCAGTTAGGAGGAGGTAGACGCTGGCTTTTCAATCCAAGTCTGTCTATTCCCTGACCCATGCTCGTTCTAGAAACTGCCCAGACAACACCCCTTCTACCCCTCCGGGGGCCCCACCCCATCTCAGCTGGACTCATAGCTGGGCAAACCCAGGCTTCAGAGTGGATCTCGACTCTGCCTCCTGCCAGGGCTTGGCCCCACTTGTGCCATGTGTTTCTCCAGTGGGTGTCTTGAGGTTCCCCGGCCCACTGCTTTGGAGGCTGGGCCCTCCACCACACTTCTTCAGACCTTCCTCGAAAGCTAGCGTCTACGGGGCCAAGAACCACGAGCTGATCCTCCAAAAAGCAGACCCACAGAAGGTAAAGAGACCAGGCGGAGATCGGGCGCAGTGGCTCACGCCTGTAATCCTAGCACTCTGGGAGGCCAACATGGGAGCATTGCTGGAGGCCAGGAGGAGTTCGAGACCAGCCTGAGAAAGAGTGAAATTCCCATCTCTATAAAAAAACAGAAAAATTAGCCAGGCATGGTGATGGGCACCTATAGTCCCAGCTACTCAGGAGGCTGAGGCAGGAGGATCCCTCGAGCCCAGAAGTTTGAGGTTGCAATGAGCTGTGATCACACAATCACACCACTGCACTCTAGCTGGGACGACAGAGCGAGACCCTGTCTCAAAAAAAAAAAAAAAAAAAAATTAAAAAGCAGACCAGGAGGGGATAGTCAACTACCCATGGACATATGCACAGGACCTTGATATTAAGGCCACAGGGTCAGGGGTCAGGATATCCAGGCTCTTGTCCTCAGTCTGCCTCTTTCTTGTCACTTGACCTCCTGAAGCCTCAGTTTCCCCGTCTGTAAGACCATAATAACAACCTCTGCCTCCTCAGTAAAGGAATTATGAAATGATGGTTCAGTGTCTGTATTTTAATACCGTATCATTACATAATCATTTTGTTATGCAGCCGCCTCTGGCGTAGAAAAAGTCACTCTGTGCCTGATTAATCCCTCCTAAGCATTCCTGGAAATGAGAAACCCATTGTGTCGGCTGCCCTTGCAGCCACTCCTGTCCTTCCCTTGGCCTTTGGCTCTTGGAAGCCTGAATTCTTCTCCCTGAGGACATTAACTCTCCGTAGGGATGTCCGGGCCATTTCATTCCACTGGAATCCCCGAGGCTCTTGGTCCACTCTCCCCACCCTCATCCTCCTCAGTTTGCACTGCCCCTGTCTAGGAAACCTCCAGAGTACTCAGGGAAACAAGGTTTTTTCTGTGTTCCCAACTCTGCCCCGAGCTCCTGGAGCTCTGTAGGAGTGGGGAGGAAAAAGCAGGAAAGGAAAGGGAAAGCATGAAAATGTCAGGACTCTGGGTTCTAATCGCAGCTCTGCCACCAGCCAGCAGTGACCCTGCGCAAGTCCCTGTGTCTGAGCCTTAATTTCCCCACCTGTGAAATGGGAAGAGTATGCCCTGCCTACAGTATAGGGGGGTATGAGGAATCAATAAGATGACAGCTGTGAACACCCTTAATGTAGTTCTCAAAGGTCAGTCGTGGCCCGGCGCGGTGGGTCACGCCTGTAATCCTAGCACTCTGGGAGGCCGAGGCGGGCGGATTGCTCAAGGTCAGGAGTTCAAAACCAGCCTGAGCAAGAGCGAAACCCCGTCTCTACTATAAATAGAAAGAAATTAATTGGCCAACTAATATATATAGAAAAAATTAGCCGGGCATGATGGCGCATGCCTGTAGTCCCAGCTACTCGGGAGGCTGAGGCAGGAGGATTGCTTGAGCCCGGGAGTTTGAGGTTGCTGTGAGCTAGGCTGACACCACGGCACTCACTCTAGCCTGGGCAACAAAGTGAGTCTCTGTCTCAAAAAAAAAGGTCAGCCAAAGTCAGAACTTAAGCAAACATTACCTCTCACCAGTGAGTCTCCTCTTCCCAAGGGATGGGAGAAGAGAAAGCCAGCCCTGTTGAGAACTTCTTACCTGTCGTGTTCTGTGCTAGATAGCACAGACACTGCTCTACCTCACCGCAAGGCTATGTGATTGGAATTAGCCCCATTTCACAGACGAGGAGACTGAGGTTCAGAGAGACCAAATAAGCCACGAGAGTGATGCAGCTGGAAGCCATAAGGACGAGGCCACTCCCACCCTTTCTCTGCTCCCCACCCCTCCATAGGGGTTATGGTGGGGGAATGACACTGGTTTTGGGTGCCATTCAGACTCACAGAAGGGACCCAGGCAAGAAGACAGGTGCCTCTGACATATCAGTGGAGCCTGGAGAGAAAACAAGATTCCATCCGTGCCCAGGGCTCTCCAGGGACACACCTGCACCTGCAACAGCCGTTCCCAAGGGCTGTTCCCGGAAGGCCGGGCAGCAGCCAGGGCGGGGCGGTCTGGGATTTGTTCAGTTATCTGACCATGCGGGAGACCTGAGCAAGGGGTGGTGCCTCATTCGCCACTCCCAGCCACTCCCTGGGAAGGCCGCCTCTGCCCAGGTCCTGCCTGCCCTCACCCTCCTGCCCAAGCCCCGGTCTGGGTTCTCAGCCGCCCTGCGGGTCCTTCACACCACGCCCTGACCAAGAGAGGAACTGACCCGAGGTTACAGTGTGTGTGTGTTTGTACACGACCTGAGAGGAAGCGTGCAAAGACTGTGCCCAGTGTCCTTACACGGTTGAAGGTGTACATGTCCTGCCAGTGTGTAAGCGGCCTGTCCCTGCGCTCCTAGGAGTGTGACTCCGGTGTCCTGCTAGATGGGGGAGGAATGAGGAGGTTGCGCCTGGGGTCCCCGGATCACATCTATGGGTGCATGCGTGTGTGTCTTGTTAGGGGTGCTTGGGGCATAGAAGACGGCGCCCTGGGTATCCTTGACCACGTGTGTGTTGGCGGGTGCACGGCGCCACAGCACCCTGGGCCAAGTCTGTATGTGCATATGTTCATGCGTGCGTGTGTCTCCCGCAGGGATTCAGTGGGTGCTTCTGCCAAGTGTCTCTGCACACGTGTGTGCTTGCAGTGTCCTTGCACACCCGCGTGTGTCCTGTAAGAACGAACGGAGCCCAGCACGCGCTGGCGCAGGTGGGAATGCGTGAGTGTGCGTCCTGCCGCTCCCTGCTCTGCCGGCCCCCCGCCTGTGCTGCGAGTGCGCCCGAGCGGAAGGCGCCCGGGTGGCCCGGCCTGCCCGCGAGTGTGCGCGCGCGGGGTCCCGGGCCGGCGTGCGCGCCGGGGCGAGTGCGAGTGAGTGTGGCGCCGCTCGGCTCGCTCCGCGCCGCCCGCCCGCGCAGCCCGCACACTCACACTGCTTGGTTGCTGCCGGGTGACGCGGGCTGGGCCCGCCCCCTGCCTGCCGGCCCCTGGCACTCACTCGCGCCGGCCGCCACCAAGCAGGCAGCAGCCGCGTCAGGGCCGTCCGGGGGCGCGGCCGGCGATGCCCGCAGCCCCCGCCGCGCCCCGCCGGGCCTGCTGAGCAGCCCCCGGGCCGGGACCGCGCCGGGCCGGGCTGCGCCCGAGCGGGGCGGCGCTGCCTGCATGACCCTCCGGCGGCGCGGGGAGAAGGCGACCATCAGCATCCAGGAGCATATGGCCATCGACGTGTGCCCCGGCCCCATCCGGCCCATCAAGCAGATCTCCGACTACTTCCCCCGCTTCCCGCGGGGCCTGCCCCCGGACGCCGCGCCCCGCGCCGCTGCGCCCCCGGACGCCCCGCCGCGGCTGGCGCCGGCCGCCGCAGCCCCTCCGACGGCGCCCGCGACGACGACGAGGATGTGGACCAGCTCTTCGGCGCCTACGGCACCAGCCCGGGCCCCAGCCCCGGCCCCAGCCCCAGCCCCAGCCCGGCGCGGCCACCCGCCAAGCCGCCCGAGGAGGAGCCGGACGCCGACGGCTACGAGTCGGACGACTGCAGTAAGTTTCCAAGTTGCCGACTTCTTGCCCCTTCCCCTCGCTCGGGCTCGCGCTCCCCCCGCCTCGCTAGTCCCCTCGGTCCCCCTCGCGTCGCTCTCGCTCTCGCTGGGCGCACAGCCCCCGCCCGCCGGGTCGCAGCCCCTTGCGCGCTCCGAGCGCTCTCTGCGCGCCCTGCAGACCGGCCCCGGCACCTCCCCGGACCAGGACCCGCTAGGTGGGAAGTTTGGGGGCGCCCCCTGGGGGTGCCCTATTTCCGGGGCTGGGCTCCTGGAAGCCAGCGCCGCACCCCCTCTCGGCCCGCCCGCCGGGAGCTCGGGGCGCGGGCGGCGGCTTTTGTTCCCGGGAAGGGCGGAGCTGTGCCCCGGGGAGACACCAGTTGCTGCCGGCCTCGCGGCCGCTCCCGGCCCACTAGCCGCTCTGGCCGGGCCCTGGGCTGAGGGTCCGGGCTGGGGCAGGATTGGGGAGGCGACCCGGGGCTGGGGCCCAGCCCGGCCTCCCAGGTGGGCCCGGCGGCCCGCAGAGCGCGGCGGCGTTGCTGGCGCGCGGGCCGAGGACCAGGAGGACGGCGGGGCCGCTTGTCCTTTGGAAAAACCTTGGCGGTTTCTCCTCTCGCTTCCGTGGAGCCGGCCGGGGCGCTCGCCAGGGCCGCCGGCCTTCGCCCACCTGTTACGCCCGCTTCCCCGGGGCAGGAAGGGCCCCCAGCCCGCGCCCCTCCTCCTGGGGCTGAGCCCCGGGCCCCAAAGAACAGGCAAGCGCCCTGCTTGCCCGGGTCCCCAAGGCTGAGGCCCGGCCAGCTGGCGCTCCAGGTCCCTTTTCCAGTCCTTGAGGGTGTCTGCCGGGCTCGACTGGGGACTGGCTGGGAAACTGAGGCGGGAAGAGGTCTCGGTCCAGTGAGGAATCGGTTTGCGCAGGGAGGGGATTGGGGGTGGGGCCGCTGCATGGAAGGCCCCCAGCCCAGCTGTGACCCTAGCTGTGTCACTCAGACTTGGGAAACCAGTGTCAAACCCCCCAGAGCCGCCTAGGGTGGGACCTTTCAGGGCCCGGGTCTGCTTGGGCTTCTCCAGGGCCCGCTCGGCCCCTCCCCCGCCCAGCAAGGGTGTCTGCGCCTGGCGTGGGCACTCACCAGGCCTCCGAGCTCAGGGCCTGGAGTTCCCCGAACATAACGTGGCCTAAGGTGGGGCATTCCAGAGCCACCCCGAGTGCAGACCCCTCGGCGCCCTGCCTGGGGTGGCCCCTGCAGGGGCGGGTCGGAGCGGCCTCCGTGGGGAAACTGCGTGCTGTGCACTTTCGGGAGGCCTGAACCACAGCCCTCCGCCTGCGCCTGGCACAGGGAGGGCCTGCCCCGGGGCATGGGGGTGGCGAGCAGTCCTCCCCTCCACTCTCCTGCCGGCTAGGGTAAATTGGGTCGGCAGAGTTTACTGTCCGCAGAGCTGTGCCCTGGATCCGCCCCCTCCCCCAGCTCCCTGTGCAAGGCTCCCCCCTCGTTTGCTGTGCTTCTGGGCAGGCCCTGACAGGGACCCAGGTCACCCCTCTGGCTGCCCTGAATCCCAGGCCACCCCCAGAGGAAGGGGTGGGGAAGTTGCTTCCATTTCCAGCATCTTGGCTGCTGCGCGGAGGGGGTGAGCAGGCAGGGCCGTGCAGGGCAGTGCTCCAGGCCACCCTCCCGGTGCCACCGAGGGCCCTCTGGATGGCATGTGGCCGGGAGGTGAAATATCTGGTCATTTCTTTTGGCCGCCTCTGGACCCACAGGCAAGGAGCAAAGCTCGAGACTCCGGCCAGCAGCCCCAGCTCCAGTCTGTCGGCTCAGCAGTCCCTCACGGGGCACCGTCCTGGCCGCAGGGAGTGGGGCAAAGGAGAGCAGGCCTGTGTCCCTGGACTCAGCACACACATGTTGTGGCAGGGGACAGACTCACGTGGGGTCGGCAGTACAAGGAAGGACGGGACGCAGCTGTGCCAGCTTGCACTGCGGGCCGGCCACACCCATGTCACCAGGGCACGCCAACAAAATGCTGAGGGTGTGTGGCCGAGCCCGGGGCCGGCCTGGGCAACCCTGGCCCTTTCCAAGGACGGCCCACCCTGGGCCTGCCTCGCTCCGGGGGCCGAGCAGACATCCCGGCCCGGGAGCTGGGGAATCTTGGCTCCTGTCCCTGCCGGGAGCGGGTTCTGGGGCGCGACTGCCTTCCACCCTGCACCCCAGGCCGTGCCCCCGTCTGGGCTGTGACAACCAGATCCCTGGAATAAGCCTAAGTGATTCAAGCCAGATGGTTCATTACGGCTTTAGCCAGGGTTATGCTATTTGCTGCCCTAATTATTGGATTATCTGTGTTCTGACGGAAAGAAACGAGGGCGGTTGCTCTGTTGTCCGAGGCGGACAGTGAAGTGCTGTGTGTTTACTCTGCCTCTGTCCCCCTCTTCCACGCCCCTCCTTTATTAAGCCGTGTCCGAGCACAAGCACGCACGCACGTGTTGCTAGCAGATCTCCTGGGGGCGCTGGCGGGGAGGGGAGGCCTAGAGTGCGGGGTGAGGAAGGAGCACCACCCGCTGCCGGCCTCCCGGTCGGCCTGGGCCGGCCTGTGCCACCCGCTGCCCTGCAGAGTGGCCCAGTGCCCCTCATCCAGCACACGCTGCTCCTGCCTGGGCAGCCCTCCCGCCCAGTCCCCACCTGTGGAAACCCAGTCCCTCCTTCAAAGCTGTAAGGACCAGGATGCTTGGGTTGCAAGTAACAGAAAACCAACTCCAAGTGGCTTAAACGACGAGGACAACAGAGGTCCCGAGGCACCAGGTGCGTTGATCCAGCGGCCCCTGGGCACCGTCAGTGCTGATGGCTCTGTCCTTCTACTTGGCCATGCTCTTTTCCCCATAGGCTGAAAATCAAGGCCGGCTTCCTGTCCCCGGGGGTGCACAGGTGAGGACAGTCCAGGGGCACGATGCTGTCATTCTCCATCAGCCGCACAGGACCCTCGTGGCCCAGGGTGGCTGCTGTGGGTCCAGGCATCGCACAACAGTAGGGCCCCAGGTGTGACGAGGACCAGTCTTCTCCCCAAAATCTCAGTTTAAGAGTGAGGACGCCTCTGCCAGGAGTCCCCAGGAGACCTGTCCTTTTGTCCCATTGGCCAGCATTGCGTCACATGCCCGTGCGTAAGCCTGCCTCTGCGCGGCCCTCCCTGGGGCTGGCTCGGGTCATCGCATGGAGGTCCCGGGTGAGGACAGAGTGCAGGGACGGCTGTCGGGTCTGCCACCAAGGCTGTCCTTGGCAGGGGGTCTCGTGCCAGTCCCCACGGGCCGTGGTTCTTCCTTTGAGCCCAGAACCCCCTTTTGGCCTCAGTTGTATTCTGCCCAGAACTGCTACCGTATTTTATGCACTCGGTGTTACAACACCAGCTGTGCGTCAGGCACCGTGCTAGGAACAGAGAGACAGGAACGCCTGAGACGCAACCTCTGACCTCGGGGTATTCAGGAAAACCCAGAGTATGGCCCAGCAGTGGGGGACGGGGAGGTGGAAATACACGAACAGGAAGCTCTGGCTTGTACAGAGGACACCCACAGAGAGGACACCCTCTGTTCTGAGGCTGGGAGGAGAGAGGAAGCAGGCTGGCAGAGTGGGAGGAGGAAGGGAAGGTGCCCCTGGCAGAGGGACAGCTGTGTGCACAGGTTCTGAAGGCGAAACAATACAGCCAAGTGGCTGAAACAAGGGAAAAGACTGATGATGAGGCCAAAGTGGTCATGTCACAAAAGGTCTTGAATGCCACACCGAGGAGGTTGAACAGAGTCCAGGAGGTTGTGGAGACCTTTTAAACCATTTAAAGCAGAGGAATGAAGAGACTTATAAAAGCTGTGACCTTCTGCCTCTAAGCTCCCGGGAAGCAGGGATGTACGGCTCATTCCTCTTTGTCCCCCCATGCGGTGCCTGTCTGGCTCAATGCCTCAGTTTCCCCAACTCCAAAATGCTTACAGCACAGTCTTGATAATTTTCTATGATTCTTGCTACAGTTTTTTAAAAAAACTATTTGAGAGGCTGACATTTTTCTTAAAAAAAAAAAAATCACCGGAGGGCGTGCGGGTCAGGAGCCTCCAGGTGCAGACCAAGGTCATTACTATGCTGTCAGTCTCCACCAGCCGAGCAGAGGCAGGTTCAGCCTTGGAGGCACCGACAGGGGCTTGAGCTCGATTTTCTCTGAATTAGCCCCATTAAAGCTCTATAATTATCAACAAGCGGGTGACAAGTCTCAAAGGCCCATTAGTGACCAACCCTCATTATTTTTCCAAAGATGTAAACTGTAGTGGGGCATTGTGGTCTGAATGCTCCAAGGGCAGGCAAGGCAGGCTGCTGTGGCTCACGTGGAGACACCCCGTCCCCTGCCCTTGGGACCCCCTCAGCCCCCCACACATAAGCCCTGGTGCTTTTCCAACTCCGAGGTCCCTCCGTGGCGTGCCGAGCCCCACTGTCCTTCCCCAAGAGCAACTCCCCTCTTCTCTCTTTTTTTGTCTCTTAGTTGCATCCTCCTAAGATTTCAGCTAAACAAAGTGGCAAACAAAAAGTTTTTGGAAGCCACTAGGCTTTAAGGCGGAAACTATCAGGGTGGAAGTGAAGAGACCTGGCCGCCGTGTCCCACCCTGCCGGGCCACCCTGACCGTGTCATGTCTCCTCCTCTCTCTGAGCCTCGTTTCTCTGGAAGGGGAATGAAGACTCCGGACTGTGAGCTCCCCACGAGAGCTTTCACTCCGGCAAGTCTCTCCAGATTGTGGCCAGGCTTCTATTTATAAACTATCATTTCGTACAGAGCTTCCACTGGAACTCAGAGAAATCCATCAGTCCCTTCCTGGTGACACACGGGGCTTGCTGTTCCTTCCCAGGAAGTGGCAACAGGTGCTGGCTTTCTGCTGAGCAGCACCCGAGCCCTCCTTAAACGGGGGTGTCTGCAGAGGCCGTGGCAGGGGCTCCTCTGCCCCCCGGGAGCCGAGTTGCCCGGTGGGGAGCGGGCAGCCCCCCCTCCCCACCTTGCCGGCTGGTACTTCTCCAGGACTGGGGGACCAGGCAGAGCCCCTGGAGCGTACTTTTTATACAGGGGCGTCATCCCCAATCCCCGCTCCTATGAGCAACTGGGGAGTACATTGGCTTGAAGGGAACAGCCACGTGCACCTGCTGTTTGCTGGTCTCTCGGGCGTGCCCAGGGCATATGGTCCCCGCCTTGGAAGGCGGACGTGTTGGGGGAACAACCCCCCCCCCGTGTCGGCCTGAACTGAACAGCAGAGTGGGCTACTATCAGGTGAAGACGAGAGCTCTGGAGAATACCGCTACAAAGGCATGGACTTGATGAATCTTGGGCCTGTGGCTGCCGGTTGTTACAGGAGTTGGTGACATGTACCCCGCCCCCATCACAGCATCCCCGCCCGCCTACCTGCACAGGTGCGAGCCGGGCCACAGGCAGCCAAAGGCCGGACAAAGTTATCACTAACGCACGGTGGCTCTTCTCAGGAAACAGCTCTTTAGGCTCCGCTCAAGACCTATTGACTCTTAGTTTTGACAGACTTCTAACAAGTATGATCACCTGGTTTCATGGAGGAACTCGTTAAAGCAGCAGGAGCTGTGTGTGCTACCAGAGACGAGTGCCCTAACAGGGGTCTCAAAGGGAGGAGGCAGAAAAAGGAAGAAAACCGAAAAAGAGAGACCACCTGGTGGGGGGACAGCCTCGCACCCCCTTCCTTCTGTATCTGGGCTACGGCTGTGACAGCCGAAAGAGTAATCGTAGCCATGGCAACGACGCAGGTTATGGAGAAAAGCTTAAGTGACCGTTTGTATATTCTGTTCCCAAAGGCAGGGAGGGGAGTGATCCAGTTTTGAACTGTGTTATTCCAGAATGGGTCTCAGAGGGGCAAGTACAGTTCTCCAGAAAACTCTCCTCCATGCACCTGCTCCTTCTATAATTATATCTTCCGAGCACTTTCCATAGCCCAGGGACTGGGAGGTGGGTACCATCTTGGGCTCCATCTTGCAGATGATGGGAAACTGAGGCACGATGAGGTTGGGTACGCTGTCTAGGGTCACACAGCAGGGGAGTGCCATGCGGGGGTCTGAACCCGGGAGATGATGTCGGAGATCCTCTCCCGGGTCAGCCTCGCACCCGGCACCAAGCTGCAGGCAGGGACATGCGCCTCGCCCTGTGCAAGGGCGCGGGGAGGAAGTCCAGGGTGGCATGTCCTCACCCCAGAGTGAAGGGCGGCTCCTGACACGGGGGGAGGGGGGCTTAATTTGCCCACGTCCCTGCAGACCCCGGGAACGCCGCCGTGCCTGGCCCAGCGCCAGCCCAGGGCGAGCAGACCTCTTCTGTAAAGGGCCAGGCTCTGAACATCCTCCGCTGGGCAGGCCGCGGGGTCTGGGCTGCGTGTCCCCAGCTCGGCCTCTGCAGTGGCACTGCAGGATGTAAACTGATGGGCGTGGTCGGATTGGGACATAATTCGATCTGGATCCACGTTGGGAGCGTCGACCCAAACCCCCCGCCCCTCCCCCACCCCTGCGTCGCTCCAGCCACTAAGCCCCCACTTGCTAGGTGGCCCGTGGTTGGAATGTCCCCAGCCCCACTGTGCCACTGGCCAAGTCCTACTCATCGCTCGTGGCTCAGGGTGAAGCATCCCTCCTGGGGCTCCCCACGGCTCCTAGCTCACCAGACGCTGTTGTGCCAGTTCTTTCTGTACGTTCCTCGCATTAAGCCGCGCTCTCCTTGGGCAGGGAGCCCGCCTTCTGGGTGTCTTCAACCCTAGACCCGGCATGTTGTAAACACCTGGTGAATAATGAATGAAGGAGACAGGAGCTGACCAGCCCGGCAGCCGGGGAGCAGGCGCCGGGCTTCTGAAGACATCTGCGGATGTGCGTCTTGCGGTGTGGGCCCCCAAGGACTGTCCCTCCCCATCTCCTCGGCCTTCGTGCTGGGAGCCACTTCTGCACGAAGGCCACAGCTGCGGTGCCTGACTGTCCCTGGGGGGCAGCTGCAGTAGCTACTGCCGCACCCTCTGCCTGGCCCTTGGGAATCGCGGCTGCCTCTGAGAGACGTGGGGGCAGCCGCGTGAGGACCCAGCTGGCTCCTTGCAGCCAGCCCAGGGCCCCCAAGGGGCCAGAGAGACCGGGGAGTTGGCGTCCCACGTGCTGCCTGGGGGACAAGAGAGCGGATCAGCTGGTCTGCGTGGCCAGCCTGCGCCTCTCAGAGCCCCGCCTCCTCTGCCTTCCCATGTGATCCTGGAGACACTTCCCAGGCAGGGGAAACTGAGGCACGGAGCCCAGACTGGCAGTTGGACAAGGAGGAACTCCTTAAGCCGGTGCCTGGTTCACATGGGCAGTGCACTTGGGCAGCCGCAGTGGACTGGGGTGACCCACCCAGCCTCGCTGAGCCCCAACTCCTCGTGGGAAGAATATTGTCGCTTTCCGGGGTTGGGTGGGGCTGGGACGATGGGCAGAGGGACTGGCATACGGTAGGTGCTCCGCTGGTGGCAGTCGCCATGGGGACCGGGGCAGGCTCATCTGTAGGTGACGTCTCTCCACGCCGAGGCTGACGCCTAACCTGTGCCCTTGTGTGTCCGCAGCCGCGCTGGGCACGCTGGACTTCAGCCTGCTCTACGACCAGGAGAGCAACGCCCTCCACTGCACCATCAGCAAGGCCAAGGTAGGCCCCGCCCGCCCGCTCCAGCCCCCAAGGAAGGGCCGGGTCGAGGGGGCCAGCCCTCCCCCCGATTCCCCACCGATCGATCGTGGTGTCTGCACCATGTGGGGTGCGGCGAGCAGTCCTTGCCTAACCCGTCTCGGCTGCCCACGCCCCAAATAAGCCTCATGCAGCCGGGTGCTGGGGGGAAGGAGTATTACAAGGCAGGACCGAGGCCCCTGGAGCCTGGGCAGGGCAGGGTGAGAGGGGGCAGAGACGGGGAGGCAACGGGTCTGTCCTGCAGGCCAGCGGAGAGAGGGTGGGACGCTGGTGGCCCGAGGCGTGGAGTCCTCCTGTGGCATCCAAGGGCTTAATCTTCCGGCGTTTCGGGGCCGAGCCCGAAAAGCCCCCTGAGCCTTACTGTCCGGGCCGGGGTCTCGGGTATCTGTGGACCCCACTGTGGCCTGGCCAGGCTCCCAGTGCTCCCCTGTGGCTCTGCCGCTGGAGCCAGCATGTGCCAGCTCTGTGTTCTCAACTGTCCTGTTCCCTTGTCCCCCACCGCGTGGCTCCCTCTGGGAGGAAGGTGCCCAAGCTGATGTTCTCCCGCAAGGTAAGGGCCTGCGTGGCCGGTAGAGCCCCGTAGTAGGGCTGGGGACAGCCTGAGCCAGCCCAGCTCCAGCCAAGGGGCTTTGCCCAGCGCTGCCCGGCCCAGGCCCGTCCCCAGCCTCCCCTCTGCCCCTCCCTCCCACCCCGCCAGCCGAGGGGCTGCCCTTGCTCTGGGACCACCCAGGGGGACAGGCTGCCTGGTGCCACCCCAGGCTGTATCCCAGCCCAGCCTAGGCTACTGCACCGCCTTGGCAGGTGCCAGCACCCTCTGTGTTGGGCCAGGGCCTTGGTTGGGCACGTAGGGGCCTGCGCACCCCACCCCCGCCCCTCCCCTCCCTCCGGGACCTACCCAGGCTGTGACTCAGGGCGCCCCAAGCCTTGCCTGGCAGGGGCTCCAGACCTCCCCCTCGGAGCAGAGCTGAGCGTCCGGTGACCCCAGCTGTGCCAAGGTGGAGGCCAGGCAGGCTGCAGGGCCTGGGTAGACCCCTCCTGTCCCTCGGTCAAGCTTTGTAGAGGCTGTGCAGGCCTGGGCCCTGGGAATGGCACCTACCGGCTGCCAGGCCACTCTAGCTAGATCCCACCCCTTCTCCTCCCCAGCCACCAGGGCCCCTCCCTGTGTCGTGTGCCCGCCCTCCCTACCTGGCTACAGGTGCGTGCGTGCCTGTGTGTGCACACGTGGAAGTGTGCGTCCACATAGGGGAGTATCCCTCAGGCATCGGGAGGGGGTGGGAGGCTGGGGGTGGTGCCCCCCACTCTCGTTCCTTCTCTGTGTAAAGCCAGTTCTGTAGGGAAGGAGGTGGCGCAGGCCCGGGCAGAGGTGGGGCTCTGGGCTGGGGTACCGGAAGGAGCCCAGGGCAGGGGGAGCTGGGTCAGGGCTTATAGGGGTCTCTCAGGGTTCTAGGGGCACTCTGGGGCTGCACCTTCACTTGGCCACCCACCCTGTGGTTGAGGGCCAGTCTCAGTTTGCCCATCTGTAAACAGGGTCAATCACCCCCACCCTCTGTGGGTGTTGGAGCTAAGGGAGTTAACAGGTGGCACCTGGCACTTGTCAGCGCTCGGGACCTACTGCTGTCCTGGAGGACAGTGCCAGGGGGCACCCACCCACCCGCACACTCCCGGGCACGCTCGTCCAAGGAGGAGCTGGGACAACCCCGGCAGGCCCACCAGTCCTGGGAGGCTCTGTCGTGGCTTTTGTTGTTCTGGTAAAATACATGAACATAGCGCTCACCCTCTTAGCCATTTGCGAGCGTCAGGCACAGTCACCGTGTTGTGCGGCCAATGCCCAGAACCCTCTTCATCTCGCACAACTGAAAGTCTGTCCCCGAGAAATAGCGGCTCCCCGGCCCCTGGCAACCACCCTGCTCCTTTCTGTCGCTGCGAACTTGACCGCTCTGGGAACTTCCTAGAAGTGGGATCACGCAGCGTTTGCCTTGCTGTGACTGGCGTACTTCACTGAGCAGAGTGGCTTCGAGGCTCATGGTGTGGCAGCAGGTGTCAGAATTTCCTTCCTTTTTAAGGCTGAGTGATGGGAAGCGCCTCTCCTCAACAGGTCTCCAGCAGCAGCCCCTGAGAGGCCCAGGGAGGGGCAGGGCCCAGGGTTTCGGGGGGAGCCTCCCCCATCAAAGCCAGAGCCCCCCATCCGTCCCCTGAGTGCCAACAGCAGGCAGGGCTTCCCTTTCGTCCTTCCCATGAGCCCCGTCCCTGCCATGGAGTCCGAGTTTCCCTCTCCCAGACTCAGTCCCCTGGGGAAGGTCTGCCTGGGGGGCCCATCACAGCTCCCAGCCTCCCCTCCCGTGGACGGAGGTCAGGACAGGCTCCATGGGGGGACAGCCCCGCACAGGGCAGGGTGGAGGCCCAGCCTCACGAGAATTGTAAAAATGAAACACAGGCGTTGAGACGCCCCCTGCTCGGCTGGGCCACCAGGTTGCGCAGGATAACCCCGCACTGCGGGCTCTTGGTGGGAGATGGCGAGAGTCCCGGATGGAGGAGCTGGGCTTGGAAAGGCAGCCTCCTGGCGCACAGGGCCACCGAGCCCAGCCCCACAGCGCAGGGCACACAGCTCAGGCCCCCTGTGCGCCCTGCCCTCAGGGACTTCTCTGTCTGCCCAGGAGCCCGGCCTGTGGCGGGAGGGAGCAGGTGCCCCACCAGGCCCACATCTCGGTTACCGCTGTCACTCCGCCCCAACCCAGCAAGTTGGAGCTATTAACCCCTTTCACAGATGATGAAGCTGAGGCTTAGGACACAAAGTGACTAATCCACGTCCCCAGCTAGTAAGGGCAGGGGCTGGGGCCCCGCCAGCCTGGCCCCAAACCCCAGGGAGGCGACCTGGGAGGGAACCCTCAGGCTCCCTCAGGGGTGGGCCTGGTCTGGACCAAGCTGGCTGGGTAGAAAACTTTCAGTTCACCTCTGAATCGTGCCCTGGGGCCGCTGTTCCCACCCTACAAATGCCACCGCTGCCTCCCTGGGTCCCTAGGCGCCATCTCAGAAGAGAAAAAAATGCCATTTTCAGAAACAAGAGCCTGCATGAGGTCAGCTAAGCCCCTATGTGTTCGTGGTCCCATTCGGTCCCTGGCTGTGCACTCGCGGCCCAGCTTTGGAAGGGACAGGACGCAGAGCGGGCCAGGGCTGCCATCTTGTGGAGGCCCCGCTCTGTTGTCTTTTTTTGGCTGTTCTGCGTGGTTGGTGGGGTGGTGGCTCCTGTGGGGTGGTGGGTGGTGTTGTGTCGTCTTCTGGTGGGGTGGTGGGGTTGTTTGGGGGGTCCCGGGGGGGGGGTTGGCGGCCGGGCCGGGGGTTTTCTTGGTTTTGGGTTTTTTGGGGGGGTTGGCCGGGCGGGGGGCGTTTTTTGGAAACCAGGGGGGGGGGGCCGGGCGGGGGGGGGCCCGGGGGCCCGGCGGGTTTTGGGGGGTTTTTCCGGGGCGGGTTGGTTCCCTTGGCTTGGCGGTTAGGAGGGCCGGTTGGATTGGCTTTTCCGGTTATTGCCCCCCTTGCCGTTGGCCCCCGGCCGGGGGTTTTGGGCGGGGGGTTGGGGCCGGCCGGGGGCCTTCTTCCTTCTTCCGGCCGGGGGTGGGGCCGGGGCTTCTGTGCAGAGGGCGATGAGTGGACCCAGCCAGGAGACCCAGGGGACAGGGACGTCTGCTGACCCAGGGCAGTGCTCGAAGATTTCCAGTTCACACCCCTTGCTGTTCTCCCCTGCTCAGGGCCTGAAGCCGATGGACCACAACGGGCTGGCCGACCCCTACGTCAAGCTGCACCTGCTGCCGGGAGCCAGCAAGGTGAGGGCTCAGGCCTGCCCACCGCCGTGCCCGCCGGGACTGGGCTCGGGGTGCCCAGGGAGGCCCACCGCTCACACACAGCCCCCAGAGCCCAAGCAACCGATGGGACCTCGGCCTCTCACCTCCACACACAGCACCCAGGCAGCCCCACCCTCTCTGGCCCTCCCCAGGGACCTCAGGAATCAGCATTCCCACCTGCGGCTCTGCGGAAACCCCTTCCTGCCCCCCAGGGAATTTCCAGGCTGGCAGTTTCTAAAAAGCATTCTCAGCTGGGGGTTAAAATTATGTGCAAAAAAGGGCTCTGTGGTCCAGTAACATTGGGAAACATCGTTAAACAGGTTTCTTTACTGCACGACTTCTCAGAGCCTTTAATGTGTTGCTAGGAATGGGCTGCTCCATGAATCCTCATAAGGGGGACAGAGTGGGCAGTGTCTGTCCAGTTTATTTGACCACGGCACCCTCGTTCCCTTGCCGGGCGACCCAGCAGGCAGCCCACACAGGTACTTAGGGCACCAGCAGGACAGGTGCATGCGAGAAAGGACAGGAGACACTGCTGTTAGACACAAGCATTGAGGTGACCTTCCACCCTGGAGAATCAGAACCTGCTTAGACGTCCTCATGTGTGTCTGACAGCTCCGTGTTGTTCATTTTTAATCTCTGGGGCGGAGCCTGAGTTGACTCGGGGCCAACGAGGGTGGGGCTGGGCTCCCGGAAGGGGCCAATCCTCCTCCTTGCAGGGAGGCCGGGCGGGGAGGACTGGCAGTGCCCCCGCCACCGACACCTGCAGAGGATGCCGGCTCCCCACTCGGGCCTCAGTGTCCCCACGTTGCAGGCGAGGCTCAGGGACGTGAGGGCCGAGGGCACGTGTGACCAGGGCGCCTAGAGTGGGCGGTACCTGGCTGCTGGGGTGCAGGGACCCCACCCCCGCCCCACGGACTCGCTGACACAGGGCAGCGTTTCATAAAGAGCAGTCTCCTTAGAAACACGCTCCGAAAACAGAGAGAGACAGAGGGAGAGAGGGATACCCCTCTGCCCTGTCTGCAGCGGGGACCTGGCGCTCACACTGGGTCCCTACCCGCTGGGCGCACAGAGCTGGGACCTGAATCCCGGGCTGTCTGACCAGGCGCGGCAGACGGCAGAGTGGATCAGACACAAAGCCCAGAGTCCGGCGGGGCAGGACAGTCGCTAGCACGAGGACCACGACGTGGGGAGGCTGGGAGGAAGGCGTGCGTGCAGCAGGTGCAGGCAGCGTTCCAGCGCGGCCAGGCACCCGCGCGGCGTTCCCCGGGAGAGGAGGGACTCCGGGAAGGCGCAGCCTGCGCAAGGGCAGGGCACGCCCTGGGAAGGGGAGAACCCAGCTCCCGACAGCCTACGGGACACCCCCATCCCACCAGGGGCCTGGGGGCGGCCCCCCTCCCGGTGTAGCTTCCCACGGCTGCTGCAGCAGATGACCACAGACTCAGTGGCCTAAAACAGCACACGTGGTATCTCACCGTGTGCAGGCTAGACGCCCAACGCGGGTGTCACTGGGCTAAAAATCGAGGCGCCGGCACATTCCTCCCGGAGCCCTGAGGAGCAATGTTTCCCAGCCGTCTCCAGCTCCCGGTGGCCACCCGTGTTCCTTGGCTCGTGGCTCCTCCCTCCGTCTTCAAAGCCAGCCATGTCGCATCTCTCTGGGTTCCTCCGTAGTCACATCTCACCCTGACTCTCTGCTCCTGCCCCTTCTTCCACTAGCACGGACCCTGTGACTACATCGGGCCACCCGGGCACTGCAGGACGCGGTGCCGTTTTGGAGGGGCTGGCTGAGAGCCTTCACTCCGTCTGCAGGCTAGGCGCCCCTCTGCGTGTCAGAGCGTGTTCACTCGTGGTTTCCCGGGATTGGGACGTGGCCGTCCCTGGGGACTGTCACTCTGTCTTGCACGCGCGTCAGTGCTACTAACGTCAGTTTTTCTTGCCCCAGGCAAATAAGCTCAGAACGAAAACCCTCCGTAACACCCTGAACCCCACCTGGAACGAGACCCTCACCTACTATGGCATCACGGACGAAGACATGATCCGCAAGACCCTGCGGTGGGTGAGGGCCCCGGCCGCCCGCTCCCCGCCCTCCCGCCCAGCCTGCCCGTGCACGCCCCCTGCCCCACACCCCTTGGACCGAGGGAGCAAACGGGGGGGCACCCAGGGCGGCGTCTGAGGCGTGGCCCCGCGTCTTGCCTGCAGGATCTCCGTGTGCGACGAGGACAAATTCCGCCACAACGAGTTCATCGGGGAGACGCGGGTGCCCCTGAAGAAGCTGAAACCCAACCACACCAAGACGTTCAGCATCTGCCTGGAGAAGCAGCTGCCGGTGAGTGGCGGGGCCCGCCAGCCGCAGCCCTGCAGGCCCCCGTGAGCCGAGCGAGCTCCCAGCTATGGCGTGCCTGGCTCGGTGGCAGGTGTTTCCTGCCTGCCGGAGGCCCAGCGATCACGCTGGATTCTCTGTGATTCTCCATGGATGTGCAGGGTGGCGAGGTCGGGCCTTGGGCAAGGAAGGGGGCAGTCCCAGGTTTGGGGCTCCTGAAGGACAAGGTGGCCGTCCCTGCGCTGCCAGGACTCAGGCAGGGCAGCTGGGGGCGAGACGCTCTGGAGCCCAATTGGAGCAGGTTAGACTCGAGGTACCCGAGAGGCACCCAGAGGAGACGGGATAATTCTTTCCTGGAAATTGCAATTGTTTGGAAATTATGTCAGAGCAGATTTTACCTCCTGGCCAGCTGCAACAGCTGCGCCCAGAGTCTTGGTCTGTTTGCCCCGCGGCTCTGGGCCCTCCCTTCTCTCTGCGGCCTTCACCTGGGTCAGGGGGGCCAGGAGGGGCTGGCCAGCGGTCCCCGGGGCCCCAGGGCCCAGGTCAAGAGAAACGCTGGGCCCTCGGCTGCCCTGTGCTCAGGACAGAGGCCCAGTCCCCTCCACGGCACAGGGGGAAGCTCGGGAGACAGAGCCCAGTGGCCGTCCCCAGTGTGCGCAGCCAGTGGGGTCTGGGCCTCGGGACATGGACTGTCAGCGAGCTTAGCCTGAGTCCCCAGGAGCGAGTCAGCCTGCAGCCGCTGCTTCCTGCCGGAGTCTGCGTGAGCCCCACCCAGCTCGGTCTTTTTGCATAACTCGATCAAATTTCATTCCCTTGTCACATTCTCTCCCACTCGTAGATGTTCCTGGGATGGATATGACCTTTTCTGCTTTATTATTAGTCACTAACCACAGGTAACCCAGTTTTTGCAAATGATCTATGTCACTTAGGAAAGACGACATCAGCAGCCCCTTCTGTAGTTGTGTTGCTGAGTTTTGATCACCGGCATAAACACACAACTGTGCGGATGTGGGTGTGCACATGCACACGTGGATTGTGTGTGGGAGCCTATGTGTGAGTGCGTATCTGTGTGCAAGTGTGCGTGTCTGCACGCGTGTGTGTTTGGAAGAGTGTGTACGAGCCTGGCATAGGAATGATCTGATCAGGGCACCTCTGATCCTTGCCTGGATTCGCTACGAGCTCATTGGTGCAGTTCTGGGACACACAGTGACCACAGGAGTGCAGTTTAAGGCAACCAGTCTGGCAGTAAAGACACAATTTGCTGAAACGTTTTAGATTGCACAGTCTGTAAACACGCTTAGTTCTAAGTGAATACTGAACAATACCCAATGGTCTCCATGTAAAACAACCCAAAGTATGATAGCCCACCCCTGAGCTGGGCACAATGGCTCACGCCTGTAGTCCCAGCTGCTTAGGAGGCAGGAGGATTGTTTGAGCCCAGGAGTTTGAAGCCAACATAGCAAGACCTCAACTCTTAAAAAAATCCCATCCCTGAAAAAACTGCTAAAAGAAAATCCCTACTCATTTATGTTATTTAATTTTCACATAACACACAAACTGGCACAAGTGCCATAGCTTAGTGACATGTTCACACACAGAGCCCTATCCCAGGGTGGCAGATAGTCAAAATCTCACGAGCCTAGCCTGACCCACTGCGAACAGCCGCCTGGGCACTGTGTTGAGTAGGATACCGAGGCTGCATCTGAGCTCAGGGTGAATGCTGGGATGGATTAGTCGTGTCTGCTCTGGGCGTGGGAATGGGGGAAAGGTGGCCCGGGGTCCTTCACCTCCCAGGAGTCTCATCTCCAGAGAGGTTTAAATGTGGCCACATGGGGACTCAGTTTAGTGCCAGGCAGAGCAGCTGTGGCAACGGGGTGTGGCTGGGACTGCCTGGGAGAGGGGCCTGGCAGAGAGTCCTGAGGAGGGGCCCTCGGGACATGGGGCTCAAGCTGGGCGTGTGAGCGGGCAGAGGGCAGAGGAGAGGGGGTTCCGGGTGTGCGGCAGCCAGAAGGAAGACACGGGTGGTCTCAGGAGAGGAAGGAACGGAGACACATCAGGCTGGTGTAGGGTGGGGAGGCCAGACAGGGAGGCCTGGAGTTGAGGTCTGATCCTGGAGGCAGGCAATGGCGGCCACTGGAGGGGACTGGGCGGCTTCCCCGCCTGCTCCCAGCTTCCCCGGGGTTGGGAATGTGTCCAAGTTCTGTCTTCTGGGTTCTCTCAAAGGGGGAGAGGCTCCAGGAAGCATCTTTGGGAGTCTGGGGCCAGGGTGACCCCTTACCTCCCACCAGGCTCCACTTGGCCAGGGCAGACCTTTTGGTCTTTCTCTGAACCCCCCCAGGCGGGAGTTGCTGGCATGAGTCTGAACCCAGAGGGACCATCTGTGTGTCTGTTCCCGCCGTCATTAGGACAAGTGCCAGGGCCTCGCCCAGCCCTGGCGGTATAAAAATGACATAGACGCTTAGAGGCTCAGAGCAGACACATGGGCAGCAGGTGGCCACACGGTGCGGTGAACAGAGAGAGCACAGGGCAGGGACAGCCGACCGCGGAGGGCCAGGGAGGCCCCCAGGCTGGCGCCGCGTGAGCTGAGCCCAGTCCCAGAAGGACCAGGAACGATCAAACAGAGGACGCAGAGGAGGACACTGAGCCGCGGGTACAGCTCGGGCGAAGGCACAGAGGAGTGACACGGCCTCAGAGCCCAGCAGCTGGGCAGGAGGTCGGGCCAGGCTGTGGGGGCCACAGAGCAGAACTCGGTCATCAGCGTGACTGCCGCCATAGACAGGAGGTGACTGAGTGGGCACCGAGGTTCGCATTTCATACAGTTTTCATGTGTCACAAAATATTGCTTTTCACTTTGTTTTTTTCTGCTATTCAGAAAGGTACGGACTGCTCTTAGCTCACGGTCCACACCCAGCCACATTTGGCCCTCGGGTGGCAGCTGGCTGGGGGCTGGGGTCAGGCCCCACCCTGGGCAGAGCCTTGGGAGTGGAGGGATGGGCAGAAAGCCTGGCAGGACACGGTGGCGGCCTCAGCCCTACGTGGCCCCGTGGGGCAGGGGCAGGCGGCCGGGCTCAGGACGTGGGAGGAGGCCGAGGTGGGAGGGCCGAGGACCCCCGAGGGACTGCTGTGCCCACAGGTGGACAAGACGGAAGACAAGTCGCTGGAGGAGCGGGGCCGCATCCTCATCTCCCTCAAGTACAGCTCGCAGAAGCAGGGCCTGCTGGTGGGCATCGTGCGCTGCGCACACCTGGCCGCCATGGACGCCAACGGCTACTCGGACCCCTACGTGAAAACGTGAGTGTGCCTCCCAGGACGGGGGTCTGTGCGGCCGGCCCAGTGGTCCAGGCTGGCAGCACTGAGGGGTAGTGGGCTGCTGTGCCCACAGGGGCTTGTTCCCTCATGTGCTCCTTTGGTGTCACTCTGGGGGTTGGGTATGGCCAGCCCATTTCACAGCTATGGAAACTGAGGCCCAGAGAAGCTGAGTGGCTTCCCAGGGTCACACAGGTAGAGAGTAATTACCTCCTAATGCCGTGTCCAGGCCTCTCTGGGACCCTAGGGCCTGGGAGGGGTCATGAGCAGGTGGGAGGAGGGGCAGGAGGAGGTGCTTGCCGGGGTAGCTGGGAGGCTGGGAGACCCAGCAAAGGAACCCCATGAACCATATCAGAACATAGCCACTGCCCACGTGTGCCCAGCCCTGTGCTGGGGCCACAATGCAGATAAGGGTCCCCCTAGCCCTGCTGATGGCAGCTGATGGTGGCCCTGGGGAGAGACACCAACTTGGGGGGCTGTGCCAAGTGATCTGGGCCCCAGAGCTGTGAACCTGTGGACCCAGCCAGGCCAGGCTGTGCTCTGAGCTCCACAGGGCAGGTAGGAGCTGGTGGCCCTTTGGAGAGAGGTGGCACAAGTGCCCTGGTGACCACCTCGAGTGCTTGGGGCTCCTCACATATGGGGTGGACCTGAGTCTGAGTCCACAGGGACGCTCCTGGAAGGGTCGGGCTTGGGGAGGGATTGGTTCAGCAGAAAGGAGCCAGAGGTGGTCGGGGAGGGGGACAGAGGAGTTAAGATACAGAAGCAGGAATGGGCCTGGCTTCAGGGGACCTGAGGACCCAGGTGACTCAGGCCGTGGGGACATTGGGGACATCTTGGCAGCCCAGAGGGGCCAGAGCTCCAGTGGCACAGCTCTGGGGCACCATTCCCACTGGCCACAGTCATATTTCTGTCACTTTAAAAATCATATGACAAAAATGGCTCAGCCATGAGCCAGGCTCGGTGGCTCACACTTGTAGTCCCAGCTACTCGGAGGCAGAGATGGGAGGATCACCTAAGGCCAGGAATTATGACCCAGCCTGGGAGACATAACAAGACCCTGGCTCTAAAAACGAAAAAAGGGAAGCCGGGCACGGTGTCTCACACCTGTAATCCTAGCACTCTGGGAGGCGAGGCGGGAGGATGCTCAGGAGTTCGAGACCAGCCTGAGCAAGAGTGAGACCCCATCTCTACTAAAAATAGAAAGAAATTAGCCAAACAACTAAAAATAGAAAAAATTAGCCAAGTATGATGGCACCTGCCTGTGGTCCCAGCTACTCGGGAGGCTGAGACCGAAAGATCTCTTGAGCCCAGGAGTTTGAGGTTGCTGCGTAAGCTGTGATCACCACCGCACTCCAGCCTGGGCAACAGAGCAGCACTCGAAATATATATATATATAAAATGGTGCAGCCAGTCTGGAAAGCAGTTGGCAGTTCCTTAGAAAGTTAAACACAGAGTTACCATTTGACCCGGCAGCTCCACTCCTGGGTATTTAGATCTAAGAGTAATAAAAAACACAAGTCCGCACTGAGACTTACGCAGGAATGTTCATAGCAACATTGCTCACAATAACCCAAAGTGGAAACTACCCCCCAGTGTCCCTCCACTGACGAATGGACACGTACAACAGGGTCTAGCCGCCCTGTGGACTAGTGCTCAGCCATAAAAAGGATGAGGCACCGAGACCTTCTACAACATTCATGAGTCTTGAAAAGACAGGCCGGGTGCGGTGACTCATGCCTGTAATCCTAGCACTCTGGGAGGCCGAGGTGGGAGGATTGCTCCAGGTCAGGAGTTCGAAACCAGCCTGAGCAAGAGCGAGACCCCCGTCTCTACTATAAATAGAAAGAAATTAATTGGCCAACTCATATATATAGAAAAAATTAGCTGGGCATGGTGGCGCACGCCTGTAGTCCCAGCTACTCGGGAGGCTGAGGCAGCAGGATTGCTTGAGCCCAGGAGTTTGAGGTTGCTGTGAGCTAGGCTGACCCCACGACACTCACTGTAGCCTGGGCAACAAAGTGAAGCTCTGTCTCAAAAAAAAAATAAATAAATAAATAACTACTGGAGAGGAAGCTGACAATACCCAATCAAGGCAGAAAATGCCTGCGCAACACGGCCACGTTATTTTCCTTCAGGTTTGGACCCTGGAACCTTGTGCGTAGTTGGAAGCTATTTTTTGCAGCATTGCTTGTAACACATTGCTTGTGATATCCTGGGAATAGGCGCACGTGTGTCAGCAGAGGAGGGGACTAATAAAATGTGGCATACCCGTACCGTGCAGCACTAGGCAGTTAAAACGAATAAATTAGAACTAGATGAATTAACGTGGACAGCCCAGACAAACACGCGAGCCAAAGAGCAAGCCGCAGAACTGCACCCAGAGGGGGGACACTGTTTATGAATATGTCTTAAGCTGAGCCGAGCACTTCCCGGAAGCGATCCTAGGGGAGGGAGGGGGGCAAGCAGGGTGCCTTCACCTCTGCCCGTGCTGCTCCATTGCTCTTACAGAAAGGCACGGTCTGAAGGCCAGATGGTGTGAACGCTTCAAACCAAGTTCAGTGCCCGCCGGCCAGGTTGACGGGAGTTCCAGGGTCCCCTGCTGGGTTGCCCCGAAAGCAGCGTCTTCCCCGGTGAAACAGTCCAGCGACTTCCTCTGTCGGCCTGTGCACTGCACCTGGGGCTCCTCCCTGCCACAGGTGGCTGGTGTGGGCGCGGCTGGACCCCTGCGGCCCTGTCCCACCCCCCCACCCCCGAGCCACAGGCCAGGTCAGCGCGGCCTTTCAAAGACAGGTGGAGAAAACAGCAGGGACAGAGGATGCCTGTCGTGGGAGCCTGGTGCCCAAGGGATACCCAGGACAACCTGTGTCGCTAGGTGGACACAGGTTGTCCAGGCTGAGGGCACAGAGATTCCGGGACAACCTCCCCTCGAGGGGCTTCCCCAGGCAGAGGTGGGACACTCCTGTCCCACTCCTCACCCTGACACAAAACAAGCAGAGGACAGTTCCCAGAAAACACAGCACCAATAAAATGGGCCAACAAGCACATGAAAACTCGTAACTGAAGATACTCACCCTCTCTCGGTGGTAGGTTTAAGGGACTCCCCAGTTTTTTAAATCATAGTTAGGTTTATTGAGGTACAGATTGAATATCCCTAATCTGAAAATCCAACATCTGAATCCAACTTTGCAAGCGCCAACATGATGCTCAAAGGAAATGCTCATTGGGGTATTTTAGATTTGGGATTTGGAGATTTGGGTGCTCGACCAGTAAGTATAACACAAGCATTGCAAAATCCAAAAAAGTCCGAAATCCAAAACACTTCCGGTCCCAAGCACTTCAAATGGAGGATGCTAGACCTGTGTCATTTGCATACGGTCAGTTTCTCCCTGTTTGAAGTTAGACCAAGATACACAGTCCTGTCACCTCCACCACAGTCGACATACAGAATATTTCTATCGCCCCAGCCCCAGGCATCTCCCGACCTGTTTGCCGTCCCAGTAGGGTCGCCCTTTGCAGACTTCCACATAAGGCAGTCGGACAGCAGGTTGCCTTGCCAGTCGGGCTTGTTTTGCACGTGATGCGTTTGAGACTCACCATGGTACATGGTTGCATGTACCAGTAGTTTAGTCTTTTTCATTGCCGAATAGTCTTCCATCCGATGGGTAAACCACAGCTTCGTTGTTGGTCAGTTTAAAGTCGAAGGGCATGTGCCTGTTACCGATTTTTGGTGACTGTATAAAGCTGTTACGAGCAGGTTTTCTCGCGGACATACGTCTTCGTCTCTCTGTCCTGCCCCCAACTTTGATCCATACGTATTTTCTGGTGTTTCTATAATAGACTAGTATTAGTTATGTTATAAAAGTCACAATTTTTTAAAAATGCAGAGTAAGGCAACAATGCAGAGTAAAGCAACCACTGTCTGCCTTTCAAACCAGCGAGGCTTTTTAAAGTGATGGTATTCAGCTTTGTCACGGGCACTGTGTGTCAGCCGTGCAGCCTTTCCAGAAAGCGATTGGCAAAACGAAATAAGAAGCTGGCGACAGGCGTGCTTTCGGGCAGGGGATTCCACTTCCAGGAATCGGGCATCATTCCCCAGAGTTCACTGAGCTCCGGGTGCTGGGCCTGGGCCGGTGCTGGGTGAGATGGGCGTGGGCCTCACCCCAGCGAGTGCTCAGGCAGGAGGGAGGCAGTTGTCCCACGATTGGCTGTGCAGGGACAGGGTGAGCGGTTCTGCAAAGGAGGGTTTGACAACCTCCTGTCCCCTTCCCCAGCCTGCTCTTGTCGGAAAGAGAGGAGCCTGGGCCTGGCTTCCAGGCACCACCCTGTGCCTGCCCACTGTGTGACCACGGGCAAGTCACTCCACCTCTCTGAGCCTCAGAAGAAGACATGCTCTGCGTCAGAGTCCAAGGAGTTCGTGCCTGTGGGGGCAAGCACATGTCGCTGCTTCCCTGCCGCTGCACGGACAGCCTTGTCCTTCCTCAGGGCTCCCACGCCGCAGTGGCGATGGCTGTGCAGCTCTAGCAATATACCAAAATCCACTGAGTTTGGCACTTTAGGAAGATAGATTTTATGATATATGAATTATGGCTCAGTACATCTGCTTTAGCACTCTGGGAGGCCGAGGCGGGAGGACTGCTTGAGCTTGAGCTCAGGTGTTCGAGACCAGCCTGAGCAAGAGTGAGACCCCCGTCTCTATTATAAATAGAAAGAAATTAGCCGAACAACTAAAAATAGAAAAAAATCAGCCAGGCCCTGTGGCACGTGCCTGTAGTCCCAGCTACTCAGGAGGCTGAGACAGGAGGATTGCCTGAACCCAGGAGTTTGAGGTTGCTGCGAGCTGGGCTGATGCCACGGCACTCACTCTAGCCTGGGCAACAGAGTGAGACTCTGTCTCAAAAAGAAAAAAAGAGGCCGGGCGCAGTGGCTCACGCCTGTAATCCTAGCTCTCTGGGAGGCCGAGGCGGGCGGATTGCTCGAGTTCAGGAGTTCAAAACCAGCCTGAGCAAGAGCGAGACCCCGTCTCTACTATAAATGGAAAGAAATTAATTGGCCAACTAAAAATATATATACAAAAAATTAGCCAGGCATGGTGGTGCATGCCTGTAGTCCCAGCTACTCGGGAGGCTGAGGCAGGAGGATCACTTGAGCCCAGGAGTTTGAGGTTGCTGTGAGCTAGGCTGACGCCATGGCACTTACTCTAGCCTGGACAACAAAGAGAGACTCTGTCTCAAAAAAAAAAAAAAAAAAAAAAAAAAAAGAAATAAAGAAGGCTTGAACAAAGGACCATCTCTGCTAAAAACATTTTTGTGGTGGGAAATGTAAGCTTTTCGAAAATTAGATTTCCAGAAACAAGGAAAATCTTCTTTTCTAGGGGAGTGGAGGGACCCCCACTAACAAGAGTGAGCGAAGGAGCCACGTGCTCCTCGCGCCACAGCCCGGCCCCTCCTCCCCGTGGTGCTGGGACAACCCTGGGAGGGGCCCAGGAATCTCTCTCCAGGGACAAAAAGCTCTGTGCTTTTCCTCACTCCCTACCTGTCCCTCGGAAACCACTGCAGGTACCTGAAGCCAGACGTGGACAAGAAATCCAAGCACAAGACGGCCGTGAAGAAGAAAACCCTGAACCCAGAGTTCAACGAGGTACGAGGGCTAGAGAAGGTTGCAGGTGGGCGCTGGGTTGTGGGAAGGTCACATGGGGAGGGAAGGGCTGAGGAGGGCCGGCAGGGGAGCCCGCAGCCCCCGTGGGTGCCCGGCCGGGCTGCAGCGGACCCAGCGGCCGGCCGGACTGCGGGTGCTGGCCGCAGGGGTGCAGAGACGGCAGCAGGGGAGTCCCGCTTCCTCCCTGGGTGCGAGAGGGACACCAGGCGCTGGAGGGTCTTGGAAGCTGGCGGCAGAGTGGGTTCCGTGAAGACGTGACTGGTCAGCAAAGCCAGACCCAAGAGAGGTCGAGGTGCCGAGGACTGCTAAGTGTGCACCGAATGTGGCAGTCAGGGGACTCTCGGGGCCCTTGAGAGAGCAGCTTCAGTGACAAAGGAGCAAGTGGGTTTAGGAGACAGCGTCCCCAAGGACCCTGGCCCGCTGGTCAGGTAGAAGTGCGTGAGATGGGTGGGAACCCTGGGAACCCACCCATCGGCCCCCCACCATCCCTCCCGAGCTCACTGCACCTCACACCCCGCGCCGCCCCCCCCCAGAGTCACAGGCCACGTGGCAGCGTTGGCCCTGACAGTCCCCTTCTGGCCGGCAGGAGTTCTGTTACGAGATTAAGCACGGGGACCTGGCCAAGAAGACCCTGGAGGTCACCGTCTGGGACTACGACATTGGAAAATCCAACGATTTCATTGGTAAGAGGGCGCCCGCCACGGGAAGGCTGTCCGGGCCTGGGCTCAGCAAAAGGCAGCGGCCCGTCAGGCCACAGCCCCTCCCTCCTGGCCTCTCCCCGGACCCACCTGCCCCCAGCTGTGAGGGGCCTCAGGCCTTATCCAGCCCGGCCCCTGTGAGAGGAGGAGACAGGCCAGAGAGGGAAAGAGGCCTGGGGGGTCCCCACAGCAGTGTGCGGTGGAGCAGGGGGCTCCGAGCCCTGGCGGGGCTGGTGGCTGTGCGCAGTGCCCTGCCCTCTGCCCTCTGCCCGCCCCAGAGGGCTGCTGTGGTCAGGGGTGGAGGAGGGGCCACAGCATGGCATGGAGGTCAGACGGCGGGCAGGGGGAGATCAGGCTTGGAGCACGGGAGCCAGCAGGTCCCCGAGCCCCTGGCTGCCCCTCCGGTCCCCCGCAGGCGGCGTGGTTCTGGGCATCAACGCCAAGGGTGAGCGCCTGAAGCACTGGTTCGACTGCCTGAAGAACAAGGACAAGCGCATCGAGCGCTGGCACACGCTCACCAGCGAGCTCCCGGGGGCCGTGCTCAGCGACTGACGCCCCTGTCCGCCTGCCTCCGCCGCACAGCCCCTGCCGTCACCCGGGCCCAGCGTGGGCCAGCCCTGGGCTCCCTCGGCTGCCACCAAAGGCTGCAGCCCCCTCGTGGGGGGAGACCCAGGACACCTGCTTGGACACGGAACCTCTGCAGCCCCACCGGGAGGGCGCGGAGGGCCCAGCCACTCGAGGGACAGGGAGGGCCGGGAGCTGGGGGACGGAATGGGGCCGCCCAGGGCGAGGACTCTCCTGGAGGTCAGCAGGAAGGCCCAGGCCAGGAGTGCAGGGGCGCCTGGGGGCCAGCAGGAATGGAGGAGAGAGGCAGGCCAGCGAGGACCGGACCCCGAAGAATGGTTACCCCCAGAACGGACCCCGGAGGACGGCTACCCCCAGACGTAGCCAAACGGAGGCTGCCGCACCTTCCTCGCCAGTGCTGCTGCGCAGGCGGGAGGAGGCGGCCTGCCCGGGGTCCGCTGGTGGACCCGGACTAATGGACAACTGCTTCTCTCAGGGCACAGGAGCAGGGGAGAGCGGAAACCAACTGTGACTGTGGGGGTGGGGAGAGGGGAAGGGGCGAGAAATGCCAAGACCAGCCTGGCCGGTGCAAGTGCTGGTTGCTGCTGCCTGCTGGGAGGGCAGGGAGGGCTTCCTGGAGGAGGTGGTGCTTCCTCGGGGCCTTGAAGGGCGAGTGGGGGTTTCTAGGCGGACAAGGGGAGGACCTTGCAGGCAACCAAGAGGACTACAAAGGCCCGGAGGGGAGCGGGGACCCAGGCACCAGGAGACATTGATGCCGGCGCAGGGTCAAGTTCAGTCCTCACTCCCAGCTCTCCCACTTTGACCTTTCTTCTCCTGAGGGACCTGGAGGGTGGAACCCACCCTTGGCCCGCCGCGGTGGAGGAGAGGAAAGGGTCCCTGGCGCAGGGGAAGAAGCAAACATTCCTCCTCTTCTTCCTCCTCCTCTTCCTCTTCCGCTTCTTCCTCGCTCTCCCCTCCCCCTCCTCTGCTGGGTTCAGGCTGAGTATCCTGGGCTTCCAGGTGGTGGCTCATGGCAGCCTGGCCCTACTGTGGCCACAGATGTCCCCGTTAGCAGTACTGAGTGGCAGTTCAAGGCCTTGTCTCTGCATTGCTGTGGGGCTGGCTCTGCCCTCCCGGAGTTGAGCGAGAGACACCTGCGTGGGGGCCTGTCTGCTCCCCCAAATCAGGCCTCCAGAAAGGGGCTGAGAGTATCTGAATCTTGGGGCCCAGGCCTGGAGCCCCCACACCTTCCATGCCTACCAAGGGGCCTTCAGGAACGAAGGCAGAACCAAGGAGTTTCAAAGCTGCAGATCCCCGGCGTGTTGAACCCCTCACTGCACGATGGAAACAGGCCCGGAGAGGGAAGGAGGCCTGCCCGAGCCTGCCAGCCCTGGCACAGCTGGAACCAGGACCCCTGGCACCCAGCCCAGCGCACTGGACGCCACCCTTCAGGGGAAGGTGCGTGCAGGGCTCACCGCCTGCTGCCCACTGGCCCATCCACGCCGGCAGCAGGGCTCACAGGGTTCGACCCGCAGCTGCAGACGCGAAGCACATCACCATCCCAGGCCCCAGGTGATGGCTGGAATCCCACCAAGTGCCCATCAGCCCTTTCCCGGCCTGCAGGGGAAGCAGGACTCCAGCCCCACACGGGACCTGCCACCTTTGCTGCTCTCAAGCCTCAGTCTCCCCACTATTAGGAAGGCTTTGTGCTGGGTCGAGGTTTTGCATGCGCCGTCTTAATGAGCCTCACAACCCCGGGAGATGGGTTCAATTGTCACCCCCTTGTCACAGCAGGGGCTGAGGAGTCTGCCAAGGCCACACAGCTGGGAGTGAGGAGCCATGACCCAAACCCAGGTCTTCCGGCTGTCTGGGCTCAGTGCCTCCCGGTGGCTTCCGGCCTGGGCTCGTGGGGGCTCAGTGGAGAACCCAGGTGGAGGCTCAGTAAGCTCTGCTGCATAGTAGGGACATGGGTCCTTGTCATTGTCCTGCCACCTCTCCTCTAGCTGGCTTCGAGACCATCTGTGCCACTTAGGCTTCCCCAGAAGTGCCAGTCCTGGCCCCAGAACCCTCTGGGGCTGGGGCAAGGGCCCTCTTTTCTGCACCCAGCTAGAACTGGGGGCCTACGGTGACAGGCGGCCTATTTTTTAAGGGTGTCTAGGTGAACTATGGGTATCTTAGCTTTGCTTCTGGGGGACCTCAGGTAGAGAGGACACCCAACAGCCTCTCTGAAGACATGGAAGTGCTGAATGGCCGTGCGAGAAGCGGCTGTGAGCCCCACCTAGCATGCCTTCCTCATTAGACACATGGGGAAACTGAGGCCCAGGGTGGAAGGGGCTCGGGGCCCAGCTGGGACGACCACCCAGAACTCGGAGCACCAGCCCAGGCCCCCTGCTGCCCCAGGCTGTGCGGGTAGGTGGTCCAACATGAGGTGAGGCTTCTGGCCAGCCAGGGTGGGTGCCCGGGCAGGAGGCCCCACAGGGAGCCTCGGAACCGTCACCAGGATCCTGGCACTGTCCTAGATCCTGTGTGTTTCTGTTCAAGGAAAAGCGCGTTGAGAAGCTGCAGAATCGATCGGCTCTACCCTTGACCCCAAACGGGCATCCTTGGTCCGTCAGCCCCACAAAGACCGAAAATCTGATGCCAAAAAAAAAATGTCATTCCAAAGTCAGGTGTCAGTAACTAGGGGTGTCGCCCGGTGCCGGCATCCACCTCCCGCCCCGCCCGCCGCCACCACTCGCCAGTCCCCGACGGGCCCGTCTTCCAGCCCTGAAGCGGTAGCCGCCTGACCTCCAGTGGCGAGAGCGAGGAACTGCACCCCGGCCCGCGGGGCCGTGCATGCCCTGCCCCGCGTCCCTTCCCGACCGAGGGAACCTCCCGCTGCATGGACTCTGGCTGTCGTCGACGCAGACTCGTGCACTGCTTAACACCGTTTTGCTACCATGCGACGGCTGCAGAAACTCCTCAGACTGCAGCCCCACGACACTCTTTTTGTACTTTTCGTCTGACCTACCCGAAGGTGTCCTTTTTAAGTCTTATTTGTTAATATTTATAATGACATATAATCCAAAGTAAATGGAGACGTCACATTGCGATGATACTGGCTTTGGGAGAGTATTTTATTTATTTTATTTTTATACTATTTATTTATTCATTATGTTTTTTTATTTATTTATCTTGAGACAGGGTCTCGGTCTGTTGTCTGGGCTAGAGTGCCGTGGCGTCAGCCTAACTCATAGCAACCTCAAACTCCTGGGCTCAAGCAATCCTGCCTCAGCCTCCCGAGTAGCTGGGACTACAGGCATGCGCCACCAAGCCTGGCTAATTTTTTTCTATATATATTTTTAGTTGTCTGGCTAATTTCTATTTTTTATAGTAGAGACAGTCTTACTCTTGCTCAGGCTGGTCTTGAACTCCTGACCTCAAGTGATCCTCCCGCCTCAGACTCCCAGAGTGCTAGGATCACAGGCGTGCGCCACTGCGCCCGGCCTGGGAGACTATTTTAATAGATGTGGACGGGAGGGGAGGGGGAAAGACAGGGAAAGGCAACTGAGACTTAGCACACAATCTCTTCACCATTGATGTAGGCTCCCAAGTTCCAGATGGGGAAACTGAGGCTCACAAAGGTTAAAATACTGGTGCAAAATCACACAGCTGGTCTATGGCAGAACCAGGTTTTGAACTCAGGCCTCCCACTACTTCTCACACCAGGACCAGGAGGGCACGTTGTCACCGCTGAGGAGTGTTCACGCAAACACCAGGCGCCCGTCTAGGCACCTGAGATGGGTCCTCAGTAAACACAGCAGTGATATGTTAGAAGGTGACAAGAAACAAAAAATATGGGCATAAAGGAACCAGGCGGGCCTCAAGGGATGGCGACTGTGGATCCGAGACCTGGACATCTGAGGGAAGGAGTTACAGGGACACTGGGGACGAGGCCCTGGAGGCAGGGGCAGGCTTGGCATGATGGGAACAGCCAGGAGGCTGGTGGGGCAAGGGGCAGGAGCACAGGGGACCAGGTCCCAGGGGACCTTATAAGAGAGTGGCTCTCCCCTGCGTGAGGTGGGGAGCTGTCTGTGGCTCCAAAAGCCCATCCAGCAGGGAGCAAACCTACAGGTCTGGGGCAGGCCATGACCGGGCCCTGTTTAAAGGACCGTCCACTGGGGGCGTGCCAGAGGGTCCAGGGTTCAAGGCCTGAATGGCGTCCAGGATCCAGAGCGGTGGCGGCTGGGTCCTAACAGGCCCTGCTGCGGCGGGACCCCGGGTGAGGTCCGCCCAGCCTCCCTCAGCGCGCGCCGACGTGGCGCCCGGCTTCTGGTGCTCCTGCCGGTCTCTGAACCACCCAGTGCTCTTCCGGTGACCCCTGCCCTGCTCCCATGAACCACGGTGGAACCCTGTCACTTAAGCCTCGTGACAAAGAACCTGCCTGCCGCTCTGATGGAGTCTGGTCAGCTGGGTCTCGACCCCAGCGTCACCACTCGGGGAGGCCCGGACACTCGCTCCCACGTCAACCTGCTTCTCCTCTTCATGGCGTTTCCCACCAAAGCCATCTTGTGTCTCTGTCTCGTCCTTTCTGTCCTTGCCGTCATGAGGGTAGGGGCCACATCTGTCTCATTTGGCCCCCGAGACCCCAGGGCCCGAGCCAGGGCTGAGGGCACGGGGGCCTCTGGTAGGAATTTGTTGAACTATGGATGGGATGAAAGCCGAGGACGAGGCCTCATTTGAAAGGAGCTCACTTAGCTCTGGAAGACTCTGGAAGAGGAGGAAGGACCCCGGGGCTCCTCCTGAACAGGGACCCGGAGAGCACGAGAGGAGGAGGGGGACAGGGGAGGAAAGTCTGCTCCTCCCGCTGGCTAATTTCAGTCATCTCATCTTCACGTTAACTGATCTTCTCTCCAGCCAGCTCGAGTCTGCTGTCCACCCCTCTAGTGAGTTTTCCGTTTCAGTCACTGTACTTATGCATAGTTGTCACATGTATTATATCTATCTTAACCTCACAGCACAATGCTGTAATATTTTATTTAAAGAGTCGTATGTTTCAAAGAAATTAAAAGGAAAATATTTACTTCTATATTTATCATTTTACATACATTTCCTTCCTCCCCAATAAGTACATTTGCAACTGATATCATTTCCCATCAGTCTGAAGGACTATCTTCAGCATACCTATTTTGTTTTTTGTGGGTTTTTTTGAGACAGAGTCTCACTTTGTTGCCCAGGCTAGAGTGAGTGCCGTGGCGTCAGCCTCGCTCACAGCAACCTCAAACTCCTGGGCTCAAGCAATCCTCCTGCCTCAGCCTCCCGAGTAGCTGGGACTACAGGCATGCACCACCATGCCCGGCTAATTTTTTGTATATATATTTTTAGTTGGTCAATTAATTTCTTTCTATTTTTAGCAGAGACGGGGGTCTCTCTCAGGCTGGTTTTGAACTCCTGACCTTGAGCAATCCGCCCCCCTCGGCCTCCCAGACTGCTAGGATTACAGGCGCGAGCCACCGCGCCCGGCCGAGCATACCTATTTTGAAATCTGCTCACAACTAATTATTAGTTTTCTTTTATCTGAAAATGTCTTTATTTCACCTTAATTCTTAGAAGTATGTTTTCACCAGATATAGAATTCTGGGTTGATTTTGTTTTTCTTTTCAACACTTTCATGTTGGTGTTCCATTGTCTTCCAGCTTCTTTTGTTTCTTATGAAAAGTCAGTGATTTGAATCATTATTCACCAAATGTAATTTGTCAACCTGTAAATGTGTATACATGTTGCTTTCAATATTTTTTTCTTTGACTTTCAGCAGTTTGATTATGACGTACCAAAGTGTTAATATCCTTTGTATTTATTTTGCTTAGTTCTCACTGGGCTTCTTGAATTGTAACTTTGTCTTCCAGAAACTATGAGAAGGAAGTTTACTCATTCTTCAATTTTTTTTTTTTTTTTTTTTTGAGACAGGGACTCACTCTGTCTTCTGGGATAGAATGCAGTGGTGTCATCATAGCTCATTGCAACCTCAAACTCCTGGGCTCAAATGATCCTCCTCTTATTCAGGCTGGTCTCAACTCCTGACCTCAAGTGATCCTCCCACCTCGGCCTCCTAAAGTGCTAGGATTGCCGGGTTCAGTGGCTCATGCCTATAATCCTAGCACTCTGGAAGACTGAAGCAGGAGAATCACTTGGGTTCAGGAGTTCAAGACCAACCTGACCAAGAGCTGGACTGTCTCTACTAAAAATAGAAAAATTAGCTGGGTGTCATGGCGTGCACCTATAGTCCCAGGAAGGGTCTTGGGAGGCTGGGGAAGGAGGATCGCTTGAGCCCAGGAGTTTGAGGTTGTAGTGAGCTACGATGACACCACCACAGTCAACTTAGGGTGACAAAGCGAGAGACTCTGTCTTAAATAAATAAGCTAGGATTACAGGCATGAGCTGCCACACCTGGCCTTCAAATATTTTTTATGTGCCATTCTCTCTCTCCTCTTTTTCCAGAATTACATTTATTCATATTTTAGGCTTTTTATTAATACTATTGATACTGTCTCACAGGTCCCCTGATGAGCTGCTCACTTTCTGAAGAATCTTTTTCTCTCATTCTTCTTCAGATGGAGCAATTTCTATTGAGCTAGATTTAAGTACACTGATCTATCGTTTTCCTTCTTGTTTTGCCAGTAAGCTCAGTGAATATTTATTGCAGATAGTATATTTTTCCAGATCTAAAATTTCTACTTGGTTCTTGTTTCAATTTCTCTGCTGAAAAGTGAACATTTTCCTTTCATCCTTTAACACTGTGACAGCAGCGTTAAGATCTTCGTCAGCTATGGGTGGGGGGCAGCGGCAACAACAAAACTCTTTACTGGTTTCCACATCTAGGTCATCTCAGAGCCGATCTCCATTGACTGTCTCTTGAGAATGGGTCACATTTTCCTGTTTCTCCACATGCTGAGCAGTTTGGGTTATATCCAGGACATTATAACCCTAGACTCTGTTATTTTTCTCTGAAAATTGTGAATATTTGCTTTATCAAGCAGTCACTCAGCTGCCCTCAAACTGTGAATCTGTCCCCCCAGCAATGAGTGATACCTAAAATGTCAGCTCAGTCAGCAAAGAGATTTTTAAATGAGGAAACTACTCGGGCATATTTTTTAATGGTGACTTCAATGTTTCAACACACAACATGGCATAATCTGAAGAACAATTCTAGGAGCTCTTCAGTTTTTTTTTAATTTTAAAATATTTAATTGAAAAAGACTGTGTAGATTTCAAGATGGACAACATGATGATTTGATACATATATGCACCGTGTAATGATTATCACAATCAAATTAACACGTCCGTCACTATTCATGCTGAAAATCAGACCTCCAGAACTTGTTCATCTTATAGCTGAAAGTTTGTATCCTTTGATCAACATCTCACCATTTCCCATCCCCATTCCCCAGCAACTGGCTTTCTACCCTGTTTCTTTGGGTTTGACTCTTTTAAAAATTAAGAGTCCACATGTAAGTGAGATCATACAATATATGTCCTTCTGTGTCTGGCTTATTTCACTGCATAATATCCTCCAGGTTCATCCATGTTGTTGCAAATGGCAGAATGCCCTTCTTTTTTATGGCTGAATAATATTCCATCCAGCATGTGCATGTGTGTGCGTGCATGTTTGTGTACATCCCACATTGTCTTTATCTAGTCATCTGTCCATGGACACTTAGGTTGTTTCCATATCTTGCCTCAGAGAATTTGCTTCTGAATATCAACTTTACTGAGAAACATTTCAAGCCATAAAAAAATGAAAAACTAAAAAATCAAAATCAGATCTTATTGAGCTTTTACCCTCTCCTTGAGAAATTTCAACGGCACAAGGGCTCTTGTCCTCTCCGACTTCCCTTTGGATTACCTGAATATTTTTTAGAATTCCATTTTTGTTTATCTATAGATTTTTAACTATACCTATGCATTTTTTTGTGTGCTTACCCTAGATATTACTGTATATATCCTTAACTTCTCAAGGTCTAGAGTAATATTTTATCACTTCAAGTAAAATATAACAAATTTGCAATCAAATGGATCCATTTACCACCTCCTACATCCTACATGTTAACTGCCATAG